GTTTCTTGAGTACAAGAGGGCAGTTGCTGATGTTGCGCTGTCCAATAGGTTTAACTTGGTGTGGGTATCGAGACACATAAGCGTGGAAGGAAATGAACCTGCTGACACCCTAGCAAGACAGGGCTCATCTACTCTGCTGGTGGGACCCAAACCTGTGATCGGAGTACCTTTTAGTACTGGTCGAGGTAATCCCAAAGAACTTCGTTTACGGAGATTCTAGGACTCCTGGGCCAGTTGTGGAGGTATGAAATAGGCTGGGCTCCATATAGTGGGGTCACTCACAAGTCTATGATGCTCTCTGGTGTTCAGTATGCTTACCGGCCACTGTAGACTCAGGCGGTATCTTCATCTACGACAGGATGGCTCACGGTGCCGTTTTTGTAATGAGGAAGAGGAAATTTTCTCATATGTGCTCTGAAAGTGCCCGGTACTAACCTATCAGAGGTGGCAAACACTGGGTTCAGCCTTTAATAAACCGAGTCAATTGAGGGAGTTGACCTCAAGAGACCTGTGGTTTTCTAAAGGATAATAGGACCTGGTAAGGATACTAAAGGATTAGATGTTCAAAACGGTAGAAAAGGATCAGATTTGGAGCCCTTTCCGTTATAGGAGGTCTAAGTGTCTGATGAACTCATAAATAGACCCTGCCTCCATTTACAATAAACTTAAACATAACTTCTCCTTCTGATGGGAGGAGTTTATTGCCCATGTGACCTTCCCACTTGAAGGACAAGTACAGGGAAGATCTCATACGGTCGATAAATCCAGTCCATTGGAAAGAGATGTAGGAATTACTTTGCGTCAGGTATCTCTGTCGCAAGTACGGGCTTGCATTGCAACACAGTCTATTGGTATATGTATGTCTATGAATTATGACAACCATGTCGTCAAATGCGAAATGGTCAAGTATATCTTGACCATTTCATATACAAGCAGGAGGACCATATACAACAAATCTGTTTTTATTTATCAAATGATGATCAAATTTTGATGTTGTAGATCAATTCTTGCTCTTCTTGCTTGGTTTCTAGCACACGCTCGTTGGATATGTGTACTGTCCACAAATTTTTGAGCATGCGACAATAACACCACAACTTTAACGCTTTTGACTAAAATTTGTTTTTAGTCAGTTTTTGTCTTTTATTGTCCATTTTTCATATCCATAAAACAAAGTGGATCAGACGTAGGACTTTAGTATTTTTAGACACGTGTTCAACGAGAGACTTCTATTGAATGATACATACCGCCAGTTAATGGAGCTTTTGCGTGCCAGTTTTATTCTGATCGAAATTTAACGTCACTCTCAACCTAGCAGTCAATCCAGGTGACAAGAAATTTGAAGTGTTTCGCCTTCTCCAGGGCTTAGTTATTTGATTAATTGATTTAGGGTCCATTTCATTGTTTTCACTGTTTACCGCGTTTTCTAGATCCTCTGCCATTATGGCTGTGTCATCTGCTTACCTGATGTTATTAATAATTTCACCACCAATTGTAATACCTTTGCTACGATTGTTAATAGCTATTTCAGACACTGATTCAGAGTAGGCATTAAACAACATCGGTGACATAACACATCCTCGTCTGACACCACGTTTAATAGGATCTTAGCTGAAACCTCCTGATTAACATTAATGTAAGAGGTCTAATTACAATAAATATTTTCGAGAAATCTGATGGCACACGTCTCCAAACCAACTAAGTATGTGTACTCCATCAAAGGCTTGACCGAAATCTATAAAATATACGATAAAACATACTAATATCCATGCCTGCCCTTATTTTTTTCTCTTGCCTTTAATCCTAGATCCATCGGAACTCGTGGTGCAAAAAACATATAGTTAGAAATTTTGGGTTTGAAAGATAATGTATTTAAATCAAGTCCGTTTCTTTTATGTTTTTTTATTTCAAATTGATTTGAATGTTTCATTAAAAGCAAAGCGGAACTGTACACCCTGTATGAGAAATTTACTATCCTACATAATACAGAGTTTTGCGAAGTCTTTGGCGTAGAATAAAAAGCGTGTGTGGTACAAAAATGCAAAATGAGTATATAAAACAATAAAACGGCCTAAGTACCCTTCGAAGATCCTAACATTTTTTAAATGCTAACAGAAACTATATCACATATGATATAAACGGTTATTTTAACACATAAAGCAATACAGAAATAATTATATAGGTCTTTAGCATTAACGAAAAGCAAATTACTGAACGATAATCACTTTCAAAATCTTTCCATTTTCGAAGTAAAATATCGAATTTCTATACCTGAGAATCTTTTATGGGGCGGCAAATATTATCCCGACTTCTTTATTCTATTTGAGTTTATTCAGACACTTTTAATTTACATAAACAAACAGTTTAATAAATAAGAAGAAAAAAAAATGCGACTGAAAATCAGGAACTTTTAGTTACAACAAACGCAGACACGTAGTTCCATTGTAATCGAGGAAATGAAGCAATGAACCTTCGAAAATTGGCGCAGTAAGACGGATGAGGTGCAGTTTGGTGCATTCGATTCGTGAGTAAATCAGGAAATTTTGTGAACAAATACAATTATAAAAAAATGAAAAATTGCACTTGTGCATAAGATAATTGCATTTAGAAAATAAATTTTCCATAGCTGCAAGTTTAAAATGTTTTTACTCGTCAAATATTGAATAAAATGTCGCTGAACACGAATATTATCAATCACTTGTCTATTCTGTGGACTCAAGCACAGGTCAACTGCATGCCCCTCGATATCTCTCCCCAAATGCCCGAATTGTAACGGTCCCCATCCCGCCTTCTCACCTAGGTGTCCACACCGCAACACACAATCCAAAAGTTACAAACAAACCTCACCCGCATACACATCAAAACAAATCCCTTCATATGACCTTTCCTCCGATATGAAATCCTTAATAAACTTCATATCTATGATCCTTGTTAACGTCTTCACTGAAAAGAGAAGTGACACCATCCGATACCTCAAACAGATGTCCAACATATATATGCCATAACCACCTTCTGCTTCAATAACATAAAAAAAACCTTCACCTAACTCACAACACTACACCTACATGCACACCGAAATACATACCAAAACCCACACAAATCATTCCACAATCATAAACACCTAATCACAACACTAAATTATCAACAGTGAGCATCACACATACTCCTTAAGAGTCAAATTAAATATCACAAGGACAGGGGGAGATTGGTTTAATGTGGTTTTCCAATCTCATGGCCACAGCTATCCTCCACGCGTTTTCCAAACAATCAAAAAGACCAACAATCTGAAAGGAACCGTTTTTCCATGGAACTTGTACTTAGTAGCGGGTCTACACGGCTCCAGCAAGGCGGAAATAACTCTTCTTACACTCCTGCTTTACAGTGGTTATGCAGAACGGCAGCTGGAATCCACACCAAACTCAAAAATACCATCCTTGAAGAAGAGAAAGCTTAAACAAGGTAAAAACGCTAGGCGGAACGATCCAGGTTAAAAAAAAATTTGTTTACTGTAATTTAAATTTTCATATTGACCTCCTTTTTAATAGTAAAGTTAGTAGCATTGCTGTTTAAAAAGTTTGTAGAACTGATGCTTTAAGTTATGTCAAGTAAGGAGTTATTGGAAAACCCCAAGAAACGATTTTTGAATAATTTTGTATGAAATCTGCATATAACTCCCAAATACAGGGTATGTACCGTCTATCCTGGGTACCAGGTACATCGGAGAATTTCACGGACATGATATTCGTGTTTAGCGACTTCGAAAACCCTCAAGAATCAAGTTTCGAATGATTTTATATGGAATCTACAGAAAACTCTCGGAGACGAGGTAGTTACCATCCGCCCTGGGCACCAGGAACATTGGAAACTTTCGTCGATATGATATTTGTGTTCAGCGACCACCAAAACCACCCTGAAATGAAATCTTTTATTTCTTCATGATTGCATTAGTTCATAAAATTTCCTGACGCGCTCACAAATCGAATGCACCAAACTGCATCTTAATCCCTCTTACTGCGCCAATTTACGAAAGTTGAGCTGATTTTTGTACTTCATTGCCTTGGCTATTACTGAAGATATAAATTGCCCTATCCAGAGTATCTTTTTTTAAAGCAGAATAAAATTTGCTGGTAGTTTTTAGATCACTGTTTTAGGCAGATGTTTTTAAAATAATTTGCTTAGCAATAGGAAGACAACAAATGGATATAAAACCGCCTTAGTGGTACTTGATATAACCATAGAGTTGGATATGGAAGTTTATTTAAAAAATGTTTAAAACATTAATAGTGCTTGTGCTGTGTATTAAAAGATTCTGAACGTACCAACAATCTTAACCTTATCATATCAGTCTAACGATCACAATTGTACTAAACACTTTCATGTTTCTAAAAGTACTAAGTAGCTAAATCTCTCGTAAAAAATCTTTTTTTTTCACTATTTCCGTTTTTATGAAAAAGTTTCTCAAATATGGAAATTCTGATGTCTTTGCGACGTTGTATGATGCTGTGAATGGATAATAAGAATAGTGATGAGCACTGTTAAAACTAGATTGTCTATATATAGTACAGTTAATGCTAAACTAAATAATTATTTCATAAAATCTAGCCGAGGTGTTTATAACAGCTATGTAAATTTTAAATTCTATACTAGTATTTCTTCACATACTTATAATTTGACGATTTTTGAAAAAACGTCAATTTGAGTTTATTCTTAAACTTTGAAATCATCAACATTATTCTTCTTTGGGGAAGAATAAGTTTGAATAAATATATAAACAGAACAACATTCATAAGGGTTCTAGAAATCTTGAAAAAACTCCTATTATCTTTACTGCTATGCTATGATTTTTCTTGTGAAGAAGACTGCTGAAAGAGGTACTTTGCAGGAAGAACCAGATTGTACCTTTGGCTCTGTTTTTTTTCGTAGTTTTGAGTTTTATACGAAGGAATTGGTATCTTTCTCTTGATTATTGCTAGAGAAATGATATCTGGCGAAGGTCGGATGAATTAAAATTCTAATCTATAAGCACTACATGATGTTTCATGATCTTGGAGGTTAATGGTGCAGCGGGATGCAGAAGGAGATAAATCTATTTTGAACTTTGTCAAAAGTTCTTCATTCTCTGCCACCCAATAGCCCAAAATGTCCGTGTCGTATGTGGGGATGATAGTGACTTCTGAAAATAAAGTACACAATTTTAGAATCACTTATTATTATTAAAAATAATGTAAAATATGTATTCAAAAACGAAAAGAATTTTATCTTTGTCGAATCCATAACAGAGACATACTGTAAAGTTAATACTTCCTGTTGAGAATGTAATACATTTATATTGTATACACAGATATATTGGTGTAAGAGTAAGCGGAACGCACCCATAGTGTCATGGGTTGACATGACAGACAATAATAGTAATGTCAATGAGTATCATGTAGTTGTAGGTAGTAGTAAGAAGTATGGTGGCTTAAGTTAGGTTAGTTAATTAGTATGTATGTTATAGGAAATAAAGCCTTTTATAATAGTAGTAAAGTACGACTATTTATTTTCCAAATCCACACCTTAACATGGTAGCAGAGGTCCGTGGTTGGAAAGTCGTACCTTTTACAACAGAAAAAGTTTGGTGCAGTTTGAAAAAAAAGTGTGACACATGATGGCAGGTAGTAGTGATTTTAGAATACCTATATTCGATGGGGAGAATTATAAAATGTGGAAAAAACGTCTTATGCTATTTTTGAAAATGAAGAAGTGTGATGTTGTGGTAACCAGACCGAAAAATGAAAATGATGATACAAATTGGGATGACGATGATGTAAAAGCAATGAATTATATATGCGGTGCAATATCGGATCGACAGATGGAGTACATCGACGAAAAAACTACGGCGTATGAGATGATAAAGAAATTTGATAATTTATATTTGAAAGAATCAACGGCATTGCAGATAGTATGTAGAAATAACTTGGAAAGATTAAAATTGAACAACTATGGAGACTGTGCAACATTTTTTAGTGACTTCGAAAAAGCTATAAACGAGTTAAAAAGCGCGGGTGCTAGTGTGTCTGAAAAGGAAAAATTGAACTATATGTTAAACACGTTGCCAGAGTCGTACAGTTATATTGGTGATTTAATAGATACATTAAAAGAAGATGATCAAACTGCAGACTACGTAAAAACTAAGGTTATGATGTCCGAATTAAAAAATCAAAACAATGATTTTGGAAGAAAATCCAGTACATTTGTGGTAAATAAAGGTCGACAGGATCGATCATGCTTCCAGTGTGGCGAAGTTGGTCATTTCAAGCGAGATTGCAAAAATGGCGCCAATCAAGCGTCGGGTAATGGCGGACAAACGACAAGCAGTAGAGGCTGGTGGAGAGAAACGCGAGGTCGACAAGAAGCCGGAAGAGGAAGCTACGTCAGAGGACGTGGCCACTCACGTGGACAGCGCGGAACGCATGGAACAAGTGCACAGCGGTTCAACCGACAAGGACAGAAGAACGAAGAGCGAAACAGTGCTTCTTGGCTTACAACAGTAGCTCTTGGTAAGGATATGTCAGTTATTGCACAAAATACTGAAATAGGTAATGTAAATAATTGTATTGAAATAAAATGGCTTTTAGATAGTGGTTGTACAGACCACATTATTAATGATGAAAAATTATTTGATAAATGTAAATTACTTAAAGATCCCATTAATGTTTATTTAGGAGATAATAGGGTTGTAAAAGCTACTAAAATTGGAAATGTTTTAAGTTACTTTGATGCTTTTGGTAAAAAGAGTTTAGTAGATATGCAAAATGTTTTCTATGTTAAAGATATGAAATCAAATTTGATAAGTTATAGCAAAATAACAGAAAATAATAAGATTATTTCTCTAGGTAATATTTCAAAAGTTTTTGATAAACTTGGTAATATAACAGCAGTTGCTTTAAAAAATAATGGCTTATATATTATGAAAAGTAAATTAAAATCAGTTGAATTGCATGTAAATGTTGCAAATAAAGATATGAATAATATGAATCAAAAGGAAAAATGGCATCGTTTATTAGGTCATGTAAATTTTAAATATTTGAATATTTTATCTAAAGATCAGCTGTTGAATGGAATTCCTAATGAGTTTGAATCTGAATTTATGAAATGTAAGATTTGTATTGAAAGTAAAATGCATAATATTCCGTTTGTAAACAGTAGAAAAAAAGCTAAAGATATTTTAGAGATTGTACATACTGATGTTTGTGGGCCTTTTCGAACTACTGGGTTTAAAGGTGAAAATTATTTTGTTTCTTTCATTGATGATTATAGTAAGATTTCTAAAGTATATGCTATAAAATCAAAAGCAGAAGTATGTGATTGTTTGAATGAATATACGAATGAAAGTGAAAATTTGACTGGAAAGAAAATAAAGATTTTAAGATGTGATAATGGGAAAGAATATTTGAACAGTAAAGTCTACAGATTTGCAAAAGAAAGGGGTATAGTAATTGATAATTGTCCTACATATGTACATGAATTGAATGGGACTGCAGAACGGTTTAATCGAACTATAATGGATATGTCAAGATGTTTGTTGGCTGAAGCAGATATTCATAAAAAATATTGGCCTGAAATAGTTTGTGCTGCGGTTTATTTGAAAAATCGTACTTTATCTGATACAATTGAAAAGAAAACTCCATATGAAATATTTTTTGGACAGAAACCTGATGTTTCTAATTTGCGTTTGTATGGAAGTAAAGTTTTTGTACGAAGACCAGAACAGAAGAGAATCTCTAAATGGGATAAGAAAGCTGATATGGGAATTTTAATTGGTTATAGTAATGTTGGTTATCGTGTATTATTAAATGGCAGAGTCATTGTTGCTAGACACGTGGATATTGTTGAAGAAAACGTTAAGTGTATAGGTTTAGACTTTAACGAATCAGATAATGATAATAATGAAGAGTGTTACCCTGATAAAATTGATGAAAGCTCTGAAAATGACTCAATAGATGAAACTTTTGAAAGTACAAATGAAAGTATGGATGATAGTGTGAATAAAAATGAACCTGAGTTACCTAGATCTCACAGAGCCAAAAATCCTCCAAAGAAATTTGATGACTACTATGTATATAATAGTAGTATTTTTGTAAATATGTGTAGAACTGATATACCACATACATTTGAGGAGGCGATAAATTCTAATGAAAGTAAGTATTGGAAAACAGCTATGGACAAAGAAATTGATAGTTTAAATGAAAGTAAAACTTGGAAATTGGTTAAAAATGATACAAACAAAAATATTCTGGATGTTAAATGGGTTTATACTAAAAAGTCTGATAATACTTATAAAGCTAGATTGGTTGTACGAGGTTTTCAACAAACTGATGAAATTGATGATATTTATTCACCTGTGGCTAAAATGCAAACATTAAAGATTTTATTGTCATATTGTTGTCAAATGGGCCTAGTAATTGAACAAATGGATGTTGAAACAGCCTTTTTAAATGGTAAAGTAATTTCTGAAGTTTATATTAAACAACCTAAGGGTTATGAAGATGGAACAAGTAAAGTTTGTAAATTAGTTAAAGCTTTATATGGTTTAAAAGAAAGTCCAAGGGCATGGTATGAGTGCCTAGATACATTTTTGATAAATTTAGGTTTTGAAAGAAGTAATATTGATCCTTGTTTGTACGTTTATAAAATTGGAAATGATATTATTTACTTATTAATTTATGTCGATGATTTATTGATTTGTGGTAGAAATTTAAATGAAATTAAAAGGATTAAAATTTTATTATCAGAAAAATTTAAAATGAAAGATATTGGTGAAATTAAAGAATATCTTGGTATTACTGTTGATTATGATTCTAGTAAACATGAAATGAGATTGGATCAAAATAAATATATTGAATTATTAAGGAAAAAATATAATTTAGAAAAAGGTAAACTGTATAATACACCTATGGAAGTAAATTTAAAAATTGATAAATCTGATCATTGTGAAAGAAATATTAAATATAAAAATTTAATTGGTGCACTATTATACATAAGTTCGGCAACAAGGCCTGATATAAGTTTCAGCGTAAATTATCTGAGTAGATTTCAAAATTGCTATAATGAAACGCACTTTAAATATGCTGTACGAATTTTGAAATATTTATGCTTAACTAAAGATTTAAAATTGTTTTATAACAGAAATGAAAAAGTAAGTATTATTGATTGTTATGTGGATGCCGATTGGGCAGGTGATCATTTAGATAGAAAGTCTACAACTGGTTTTGTAATAAGATTGTTTGGTAATGTAATTTATTGGAAATCTAGAAAACAAAAAAGCGTTACAAAAGCTTCAACTTTTGCAGAGTATGTAGCATTGTCAGAAGCAGTAAGTGAATTGATATTTGTAAAAGAATTGTTGAAAATATTTGATATTGAAATAATAAAGCCAATTGATGTTTATGAAGATAACACTGGTACAATTAGTATAGCTAATTATGGCAATTTTACAAAAAATTCTAAGCATGTTGAAATTCATTATCATTATGTAAATGATTATGTTAAAGCAAATGTTATAAATGTGGTTAAAGTAGATTCTGATGATAATATTGCAGATATTTTTACGAAGTCCTTGGGCCAAGATAAATTTGAAAAATTTCGAAGTATGTTAAATTTGAATTAATGTAAATACAATGTAAATGTAAGGAGGCGTGTTGAGAATGTAATACATTTATATTGTATACACAGATATATTGGTGTAAGAGTAAGCGGAACGCACCCATAGTGTCATGGGTTGACATGACAGACAATAATAGTAATGTCAATGAGTATCATGTAGTTGTAGGTAGTAGTAAGAAGTATGGTGGCTTAAGTTAGGTTAGTTAATTAGTATGTATGTTATAGGAAATAAAGCCTTTTATAATAGTAGTAAAGTACGACTATTTATTTTCCAAATCCACACCTTAACACTTCCATTCATCTTTTTATGGTGTTATGTGGCCGTGATATCGAGTTACCAATATTTACTTGATAACACTACTTTAACCGATAAGTTTTTATTAAAAATACTATTAGAATAAGCCAGGTGTTTACTCGTTGGCTTCTCAAATAGGAATTTAAACTTTAAAGGCGGGTTGATACGATCCAAGAATGCTTGGATTCCAACTTGGACCAAGTGGACTTGTACAAGTGTACTTGCACCAAGTA